CACCATTAGATTTCTTTTCATTTGTTCATTTAGGCTTGCTGCTTAACAAAATATCTAAAAAAACGTTTCCTTCTAAAAAAACCATATCATTTGTGTTTTTTTTTTTTTAACTCGATATTCTCAGCTTTTCTAAATTTTCATCTTTTTAATTAAATGCTGAAAGAAAAAACTTTATTAAAAAAAATTAAATCCATTTCTCTGACATTTTATTTTTTTCTTCAATTTAAAACCGAGCAAATAAATTAATTTTAAGAACAATTATAATTTGTCGAGACTGAGAAGAATTTTCATGAATTATTAAAAAATTGCAATGCTTCTAGAGATAACATTGTTTTATGTGATTTATACATATTTCTTGAATTAAAGGGATTGTGCGCGTAATTCCAACTAATTCTCCTAACAAAGACGGCAATGCCCGATTACGATGTACATACTTGAGCAGACAAAACTATTTACGGTACGGTTGTGAACTTGTGAATCGGGCATTGGCAACTTTGCATGGAGGGTCAATTGCATTTACGCATATAGTCCCTTTAAAGGCGCCGTACACGTAATTTTAAGAAACGATTTGTAAAATTATGTTAATTCTGGTATTTGCCTCTAATGCATAAATCCATAATTAATTTTTTATAGAAAACCAATTAAAACTAATAATTTTTTATCCAGAAAAAAACTAGGATAACCCGTTCTTCCATGAGCAGGAAAAGTTTAGAACGGTGCCGTTGTAAATTTGGCAATCCACTTAATAAATGTCTTTGGTCTCTATTGACTTTAAGTAGTATTCTAGGAAAAGTTTATGGAACTTTATAATCTGTTCTAGAAAAGAATTAACAAACTATAAAATATAAGAGCAAAGTTTGTCAAGAGTAGATTAATTTTATAACTACGTTTTTTTCGTAACGAAACGTGTTGTGTGACTTTTGCACAAAAGGAACTGATCTTTCGCCAAGTTTATATCTTGAACTTTACAAAATATATATTTTTTAAACTTGGACAAACTTTATGTACAACAAAGTATATTTTAAACTTGACTAAGAATATTTTGTTCCTCACAAAATATATATTTTGAACTTCACAAAGTGGATTTTAAACTTAAAGGTGTATCTTGAACTTGACAAAGTATATCTTTAACTTAAAAAGTATATTTTGATGTTAACAAAGTATATCTTGAACCTGTCAAAGTACATTTTGAACTTAACAAAGTATATTTTGAACTTTGTAAAGCACTTCTTTAACTTTACAAAGTAAATCTTGAACTTGACAAAGTATATTTTGAACTTGACAAATCATATCTTTAACCTTACAAAGTATATCTTTAACTTGACAAAGCATAGCTTTAACTTGACAAAGTATATCTTTAACTTGACAAAGCATATTTTGAACTTGACAAATCATATCTTTATCTTGACAAATCATATCTTTAATTTGACAAAGTATATCTTTAACTTGATAAAGCATACCTTTAACTTGACAAAGTATATCTTTAACTTGACAAAGTAAATCTTTAACTTGACAAGGTATATTTTGAACTTGACAAGGTATATTTTGAACTTGACAAATCATATCTTTAACCTGACAAAGTATATCTTTAACTTGACAAAGAATATCTTTAACTTGACAAAGTATATCTTTATCTTGACAAAGTATATCTTTAACTTGACAAAGCATATCTTTAACCTGACAAAGTATATCTTTAACTTGACAAAGAATATCTTTAACTTGACAAAGTACATCTTGAACTTGACAAAGTATATCTTGAACTTGACAAAGTATATCTTTAACTTGACAAAGTACATCTTGAACTTAATACATATTTTGAACGCGATGAATGTAAATTTAAAAATGTTAACCAGCTTAACTTTAAACACCTACTAATTTTTGTACGTTGATGTGTAATATTTGATTTTCAATTTTAAGTTCTCGAATAAAGATTTCAAATTTGGCGTATAAAGTGTGAACAGAATAAAATTTGTGTTATTAAAAGAAAGCACAGGCATTTTATTTGAACGATAAAACAATTTATCATTTGTTTCTAAACTTTACAATATAGTAAATCAAGCTTCGTACGGCACGTACACGGTACAACCGGTGTTTATGATGTGAACATCTTAGCTTGGCCAACCTTTGCGGCCCTAGTTTTGACTGTACCGCCATTTTACAATTACTAAAGCGGCAGACCTGTTTTACGGCAAATATTTTCATATTAAGTAGTTTAAAAAAGATATTTGTAGGCTTTCATTTAAAATTATCATATCTTATCTTATGTAGAGTAAGGTTATTCAAAATGATTTAAATAATGAAAAGTGATAACTTTAGATGCCCCAGGTTGTAAAAAGAACTAAACATAATTGAAAAAACGATCATTTAACCAAATAAAATATAAGAGTTTAAAAAAAACATTATTAACGGAAAAACAATTGTTTATGTAGAGTAAAGTGTATACATCTGTTTCATAAAATAAAATCTTGGAGTTTAATTCACCTCAGTTAAACTTAAGTTCAGTTTTAAAGCTTTTACTCTATACTTAAGTTCTATGCAAGTAGGAAAAGATGCCGTTTCCGCAGAATCAGGTGTTTTGGATTTTTAAGATTTCATTAGAAAGCCTTTAAATATCGGAAGAAGAAGCTGAAAAATGTGTTGGTTCGTTAAATTATTTCAACAAAAAGTCATAGTTTTTGTGTTGCTTTTTTGTGTTGTTATTGTTTTCGATAGTTTAATGTTGTTTTTGTTGTTGTTTATGTTACTACTGATTTTATTGTGTTTGTTGATATTGCAAATGTTGTGTTTAACTTTTTTTAGGAATAAATGTAAAATTTAAATTAAACTTAAATTTATATCTTTATTGAAAACTAGGTGAAGTGCCCGGCGTTGTCCGTCAGAAAAAAAATAATTTGACTTAAAAAAAAATTTAGTATTTGAAAAAAAGTCACAATTTTTTCGACTGTATTACTCCCCGGGCATGCCATATGGGTTCCCAAAACTTGAGCCCGTTCGGTCCAGCCGTTTGGCCAGCTATAGCTTACATATAAATATATAAATATATATACATGATCAAGCGAAGAGAATTATATTATATATAGATTATAATCTACAATATTTAGCCACTCTAACAAGGCATAATTAGAAACTAAATTAAAAAATGTACACAAAATAAACATACTTAAAGGGACTGTATAAGCGTAATTTTAAGTGATGGCCAATTCACAACGGTACCTTTAACAGCTTTGTCAGATCAATGTATGAATTAGATATATATATATATATATATATATATACATGTTTATAATTTTGAAAATTGAGCAAAGTCACTTGAGCATTTCTACTGCAGGTAAACTTATAGCAACTATGTAAATTAGACACTGTTAACTCTAGAAAAACGACAATATCTTCAAAATTATTTATTAGATCTTTGCATGGAGGGTTCATTTTAACTTACGCTTACAGTTCCTTTAAAAGCCAGCTAAAGTTTGAATTTAGGTATAATTCATATTCGTAAAATGACAGCTTAAAAAAACAGTAGACAATTTTCTTTATGATTAGATTTTATTCAAATTGGTTTAATTCAAATGTGTTAAACTTATTTTTTTATCATCACAAACTTTCAAAAAAAAATATATTGTATTTTGTTGTTAGTTGTTGTTGTTGTTGAAAGTGTTGTTGTTGTTGTAAGTGATGTTGTTGAAGTGTTGTTGTTTTTGTAAGTGTTGTTGTTGTTGTAAGTGTTGTTGTTGTTGTAATAAGTGTTGTTGTGAATTTAGATTTGATTGTTAATTTTAGTGAAATGAGCCGACACATGAAGTATGCTTTTTCAGGGTTGTTTAATGTATTTAACAATCTAAACTTGTTCATAATTAGAAGGAACAAGCTGAGGTTCCTGGCGTTGCCCGTGGAGTTTCAGAAACACTTCAAACAATTTAAGATTTTAAAAAAATTTAAATTTGAAGAAAAAAAATTAACATTGAAAAAAGATTGGGATTTCAAGAACAATTAGTCTATGAGTATGTTACTCATGTTACTCATGGGGTACTCAAGGGTTATCTCAAAAGATTTAAGCCAATTTGGTTCAGCCGCTGGGCCAACTATAGCTAACATATAAAAATATATTTTACCGCCTTTTGACCAACATTACCGACCTATGATTCCCCGAACAGAGGGAGGTTAGGTTACTCAACGTCCCTTGGGATAGTTATGTAAAATAACAAACCGTTCTGTGAAGTTTTCGGGAAAAATATTTGACCAATCCCTTTAACGTTTAATATTACGTTATCTTAAAGGGACTGGAAGTGTAACTTCAACTGACCCTTTATGGGAAGATGACAATTTCTGATTCACAATTGTACCCTTAAAGAATTATCAAAATGTGGAAGATATTGTCTGTTTGTCTAGGTTTAAAAGTATTTATTTCTAACAATTCCTATGTTATCTTGCAGTAGAAATGCGCGAGTCACTTTTAAAGACAAATTACAATAGAAAATAATAATTTGTTTTTCTTAATTAAAAACCTTGAGATCTAATTTATACCATATGAGACGAAGCATTTAATGGTACTATTCTGAATCGGCCATTTTCATCATTGCACAAAGGGTCACATTAAATTACGCTCACAGTCCCTTTAAAGGCTGGATCAGATTTTTAAAATGGCAGTGCAAGAATATAAATATAAAATGAAAAATCCAATTAAAAATAAATATTAAAAACCATCATGCCAAACATTTTCTTCGTATTTTTCCTTTTTAATTTTTGTCAATTCACTATTTTAGGAAAAACATTTAAATTTAAAACTGAGTTTTAAAGGAATAAAATTTAAATTTTATATTTTCAGAGATATGATTTGACTGATCAATTAAGTGATGATTGATTGATTTTGTTGGAAGACTACTGTAGCTGCCTAGAATGCGTTTATTATTGTTGTTTGCTTGAAATAGGAGACACCCCCCCCCC